TACACACACACACACACTCACACACACACACACACATACATACACAATTCTGAATACTTAGTGTTTTTAAAAGCTAATATTTGCCAAACTTATAGATCCTTGAATTACTTATGAATGTCATTAATATTTGCTCATTTTAATTGTAGTTACCTCATTTTAAATGTTCTATTATACATATTTAGGTTTGCTCATTTTAATTTATTTGCTCATTTTGAATTTGATTGAAAATAAGAACATAATAACAACATTCAATTGAAAATAAAAACCTACTAACAACATAAATAATTGATTCAATCACTATCAAGTTTAATCTGATATTATTAAAATCTCTATCAAATTAATCAAAGCTAAATAATTGATTCAATTCATTCAAATAATTGATGCAATTAAACATTCAATTCTATTAATGTAATTCGAAAATTAACATGTAATTCAATTCGAAAATTAACATGCAATTCTAAATTTTTCAGAGATGTAAAATCAAAATATTTTGAACATTCAGATTAACATGCAATTCAAAATTAAAATTACGAACAAACCTCAATGATGGATGAAATTGCGACCGTTGAAATTTGCAAAAAGAAACCGTTGAAAATTGCAGAAAGAAACCGTTGAAATTTGCCGAAAGAAGAGCATACTCAGTGAATCGCCATTGATAAGTAAATCGCCATTGATGAGCTTTGATTTGCAGACAGAATAGAGGGGAGAGATAAATTAGATGCTAAAAGTTAGTTTGTTAGGCAGGCTTATAATCTCAGCAGTTGGATTTCATCTAATCTAGTGGCTGAGATTTGTTCTCACATAAGGTGTGGGTTCTCACATAAAGGGTGGTTCTCGCCGGATCCCGACCCTATATATATATATATATATATATATATATATATATATATATATATATATATATATATATATATATATATATATATATATATATAACTTAGTGTGATAATCATCTCAGACGTTGTATTATTAGTTTAAATCATCATTAGTTTCATAAATAAGGTGTACTTTACCATTCATATGTACTCAAAAGCAAATATTTTTAAAATAGGTAGAACTGGACATAGAACATCTTTCTAGATATAGAAGCATTCTTTTTCATATTAAGTATAATAATTAGTTGTTGAAATGTCAAATGTTAATTAATACAAGTACTTCAGTCAACACTATACTTTGCCGTTACTATAAGATGCTAGTTCTAAACTTCATTGTTCTTTAGCTTGGAGCAATGTCCAATATATAACAAGGATTCAAGGCAATGGGGGTTACGACGTTTCGCTATCCACCTAATAGGCTGATACTTGGCCATTACACCTCAATGTAACTCTTCAAAGGGGAATTCAATGACTCTTACCTATATTACTTGATTGCTAGAATATCAGATATCACACTTCAAAATCTGAACTGAATTTTACAGTTTTCACAGCAAAATTTCAGGAACAATGGCCAATGCTAATAAAAAGAGAGAAACACGTTATCAGGACAGCGTAAACCTGTTATTCATCACTGTCACACTTGAGTTATCAGGACAGCTAATACCAATAATACAGGCAGAGATGCTCTGAAGGCAACTTAAGGGAAGATTAGATGCAGGCAAGTCGGAACCTTAGTACCTTACTACATTCATATACAAACTTTCTGAATCCCCATATAACAGAAGCTGAAAATTTGACGAGGCATAAAGAAGGTAGCAGAGCAGAATACAAATCTGTTACCAACAGTTAGTCTTGAAGCTACAATAAACACAGACACACACAGCTGCCTGATGCAACTCCAACATAATACATTTATAAGAGAAAACTGCCAGTCTACCAGCCAAGTATATGTACGAAAAATAAAATGTCTTATAGATTATGTCAGCCACCTGAGGAAACAATTCAATCTGGTTATGATCATTAATCACCAACAAAAATTTAATTTGACTTATCAAGTGCAATCATAATCAACACATGCTAATCACAAGGTGATATATTTGTTAATCATATACTTCGTACGAAGTAGTACTTTCTTATTTCCTACTATAATATAGACAGAGATGGCAGTAATGATATTCTCAGAGTCTTCTGTTTTGCATACGTACCTACAACAGCACTAGAATTCTCACCAGGTGGGATCTTCTCTTCTTTTATCCTTTTTCCAGCCAAAGAAGCCCGAAACTTCTCAAACACCACAGTAAGGAAAGGAAGAAGTGAGCTCCAACATGGAGGATAGTAGATAGATGCAACTCCCACAATAATCACATCTCACGCAGTTTCATCCACAACTCACAGGAGCTTTGTTAGCACAAGAATCACAGATAATCAATAGTGATAATCTGCCACAGGAGATGTTTCAGGGTAGCAAATTAAAATCAGGATTAACCCATGCTTCTACGAAGTTCCGGCTCTAAGAAGGGTGGGGGGCCTGGGGGGTGGATGTAAGTAGTCGTATCCCCGCAAGGCTGCAACTATACATCTTTGTCCATGGTTCTACATGCAATGACTGGCCTCCTTCTCCAGAATGAATAAGAAATGGAGGCAGATAATAAGCCATATCGATGTTTAATGGTGAAACGCTAACTATAATTGCCTACTACCACGGTCAATTCATGAAATTTTCACTCTCTGGTACATCTTTGTCCTTCATTTTAGTTGATACCTCAAAATCCAATTTGCTATACAAGCCAAAATGCTTATCTTCTTCTTTGGAGCAACAATTACCAAACCTTCAAAACTTACATCTATAACTTTCTTTACTTAGTATCCTTTGATGTAAGTGCGGGTGTTCGTTCCCATAGCTGAGGAAATCCTGCAGGAGTTAATTCACAGAGGCAATATCAACCAATGACATGCTGTAATCACCTGTGAGAGTTCCCGATTTCCATACCATCTTTGTCTCTGCCAGTGGATATAACTTTTAAATTCCGAAAAAATATTTAAAACAATATACGCACCAAAACAAACCAATATACCTTCTATGTTAAGGGCTGACTATATGAGTGGTATAAGTATTGCATGTCTCTCTTCCAATATATCTGCTTGAGAAAATTTCCTAGAATACGAAAAAGAACCAATCTACGGACTCAGAGGAGTCACTTCTCCACTGTCTCTTTCACACCAGCACCAGCCCTATTCTATGTCAAAATGTCTTTGTAACTTTCTCACAAGAAAAGTTTTTAACATCTACTATTAGAGATTTAGAGTGATGGTGTTGATGTGGTGAATGGGTATAAGAAAAAGGTAGAGAGATCGTTAAAAAAAAAAGTGGATAAGGTAAAAGAGAGTGATTGGAAAGGTGTAAATATTGTAGTAAAAGGAGTTTGCCAAAAATGAAATAAAGTGAAAATGTAAAAGAACATTAAAAAACGGACGAAAATAAAAAGTGTTAAGAGCTTTCAGAAACAGACATAGTATTTGTTAGGACATTAAGCATAAGAGCTTAAAAGGCAAGGACTCAAAAGGGTAAAAATAAAGAAAGAAGCCAGAAATAAGTAACATCAGAAAAGCTTATGTGACAACCAATAAAACAAATCTAAAGAGAAACACACATTAAGAAAAAAAAAAAAAAAAAAAAAAAAAAAAAAAAAAAAAAACTTGAGGTTCTACACCCCACATTTATATCTACCTAGCAGTATATGGTTATTTACAGAGTCATAGTAGAAGCAACTGCAAGGAATAACAGTCCAGTGCAACCATTATTAAAGAACCATTAACACAATGTTAAGAGATGAACACTAGAAATAAATCATTGTCAAGCAACAGTCTTAGTAAAGGCACCCACACTTTCCTCCGAGCACAATTCAAGATCAATCCTCAGGTTTTCAACCCTTACCTACAATTAATGACTTAGAATTATTACCTGTGCTAGACTCATCTACTAAAACAATATCAACGGAAAACACCATACACTATTGTCACCAAATCAACATGACTCCTCATCTAGTGTAGACTATCTCAACTTATAGTTGAAATTTGCATGAGGAAAGCACAACAGATCAAGATATTGTGAAACTAGATGGGAGGCAAATGAACAGTGGTGAGTGTTTTAAGAATTCTTACAGTATCACATAGCTACCTAATTCCCTATTCCCTAATCTTCCAGGAAACTACAAGTCAAAAAGGGCGAATTAATACATGAATGCTGTACACATTGGCCTAATTTAATAAAACCAGCCTACTAGATATCAATGCTATCAAATTATCTACCTGGGCCTGATCTCATAATGGTGAATCAGGTAACAATGGTCTATCACCCAGAATATTGGAGATATAAACCTAGAAGTGCTACAGGCGAAAGAGAACTTTTCTAGGAAGGTTGTTCGTCCGACTAATCCGACTATGCCACACAGACAGGAATATCAAGCTCTCCTTGAAATGAAATTACTTTCCCACACTCTCAAAATAAAAATTGTCCCCAAAAGGGCCAAAACAATTTGCTGGTGGAAATGCATTACCAAGAAGTTCATATGTGACATTTCAAGGATAAATTTACTATTTTCTAAAAGTTGTCAACACAGACTTTACTGTACTACTTTTAATATCTTTCATGAACAAGTCCACAGAACACACATAAGTCATGAAAATCATGACTGGTAGAAAGAAAGATCTCCAAATCACAAGATAGAATTCCTAGAACTCAAGATGGTAAGAGCCTTAAGCTATATAAGAAAAAAGTGAGAAGTTTTAAGCATCAAGTGATTTATGGCTCTCTGTATGATGTGGACTAATTACTAAACAATAAGCCGCCAAACATAATCAGCATTTTGATGAAACAAATTATGGAGGTGCACATCAGTCAACTTCTTTAAAAAAATTATACAGTGCAGTCTCACTTCAATTAGGCACACCAAAGCCCACCCAAGGAGCGCCTAGACGTAATAGGATCCCTATTGCATTTGTGTGTCTTGGGTTTTTTGTACATTGAATCAAACATAGCAAAAGAAAAGAATCATCACAAATAAATGTTGAAAACATTACAGTAATGACATTGACAAGTCCAATAGGCATAGATGCAGAGAGAGGAAATAAAAAAAATAACTTGTAAGGAAAAAATCCAAAACAATCACAGAGAAGCTATGATAGACAAGCAATATGATTCTATACTTCAACCGCCCATCCCCTAAAATTTCTTGTGCCGAACAGGATCAAAATCAAGAATATTTCTGAATAAGAAAAAAAACAAAAGAGGGACTAAGAATTTTAATCAAAAATATTTCTGAAAAAGATTAAAAACAAAAGAGGGACTAAGAATTTTAATCAGCCTTGAGCCCTTGACCCCTTGACAGCATGGTGAAGTGAAAATAAGGATCAAAAGATCACCAACTATAAGCTGCAACGAGGCATTAGCCTAGGGCTTTAAGAGACTTCATGTCTCTTTGATGCAAAATTAAAGAATGTAGAAGCATTACAGAGTTCACAAAAGTTACTATATATGATGAGGGAGGTAGCAGAATTTTTCATCTTCTAGATAAAGGAGGCAACGCCAGATTAAAAGACAGCAGCAGCATGACAAAGGAAGATCAAGATGCTCTCATCTCCTAGCTTGGGCCTGGGCTTCAAAATTGAGGAAAAACCTCCTAGCATTTGAACAGGGCTTTCCATCAAGGACAGCAAAATATCATCCACCTGTAGCATCAAGATGGCCTTCAACCTCACTGTTTGGCACTTTGGCTTTCCTCCCTATCTAGAAGGTAAGAAGATTCAACCAACTTTGAGATATTATGATGAAGGGAGCGTACCTCAATTGATAGGGTTTGAATGAAATCTCCAGTCCAGGAAACGCAGCAACCAGGAAAAAATGCTTCCTAAATAAGTGAGTCCTCGGGAAAAAAAATACTTTCGGCAGCTTAGGCAGTTGGAAGACTTGGAACCATCAATTCAAACAGTGGGAGAACGATGGTGATTAGCAAGCTTCGGCATCTTCAGTAAATTTTGCAAGTGCACTTAGCTCCTACATTACAATAAGCTGTTCTGGACTTGGAATAATGACATCCAGACTCCACAAGTCATAAGGAAAAGTCTTAAGGAGTGTACTACAGAACATTTGTTTTCTTTCACAGAAGATACCTTGGAGGCTAAAAAGCAGGAGGGTTGATGCAGAGAATACAAAGAGTTTAAAAAATCTGCACAGCTGACTGGCAACAGCAAACATATAACACATGCTTTCACCAGGGAACATTACTACAGAGTACACTATCTGTAGCTAAGGAAAGGTATGTTCAAGACAGAATAGTTGAAATGAACAGCATGACTGAGGAGCAGAAGGCAATTGTAAACGTACGTTAACGTATACCTTTCAGCGTTCGCGAGTGGAATTTGAATAGAAAAAGGGCAAAAAAAAATAATAAGGGGGAGCAAAGCAGGAAAGTTTTGCCAAAGTAATAAACAAAAGAAATAACCTTATATCAAAAAAGCTTTTTCAATTACAGCCGCAACTGCATATAAAATGGAGAAGAACCACTTATATGCTGCTTGATAGAATAACAGAAGGGGGATGGCAGAGAGAGAGAAAGAGGATAAAGTGTTAACAAAAGAGGATAAAGTGTCAACACTTGTATGAAGCTTTCCACCTCCTCTCAAGGCTATCTTAAGTATGAAGCTTTCCACCTCCTCTCAAGGCTGTCGTAAGTATCTCTTGTACTCCTGCCCTCTTTGTAGAAGATCTTTTGCAATGTCCTCATCGTGGATTCATATATAATGATCCTCTGATCCAGCATATCATAGGCAGACCTCTTCAACTCTGAGAAACGACCAACCTTACACAGACCCATGAGGAGCACATTAGCACATTCATCAACAGGCATCACTCTATTAGCAAGAACAAAGTTCCAAATCTCAACCCCTGTCTCTGGATCATCACGTTCAAATAGCATCTCGATAGCTGCAGCACAATTAGCCACTGTAGGAAAGACTTCATTCTTTGTCATTTCTTTGAAAAAACTGGCCGCCTCATGAACCTTCTTGTTCTTTACCAGACATTCGAAGATCATATTATAAGTTAGCAAGTCGGGAAAGACTCCATAAAATGGCATCTCATCAAGAAAGCGGAATGCATTGTCCACATCATTGTTGTTGCACAGCAGGCCAATCATGGCATTAAATGTAATCAAATTGGGCATTATGCCACTACCCACCATTGTATCCCACAAAGGTACAGCATGGGTTGAATCATTCTGCTTAACTAGAATATCAAGAGCACTGGTAAAGAATTTCAAACCTGGTAAGCAGCCTTTCCCTTTCATAACTTTGAGAAACTTGACAGCTTCATCAACTTGTGATCCACGAACAAGAGTCATCAAAAATGCATTGTAAGCCGCCATGTTCTTCTCATCCCAACCAACACGAACCACCATCTCCCCAAACGTGGTCTTAGCCTTGGAAACATTGCCCTCTTTTTCCCAACCCTCTAACAAAATAGCAAAGGTATCCCCATCCGGTGGAACCTTCACCTTAATTTTGTCAAAGAAATTGTAAGCCCTTTGAGTTTGATCCTTCTCTCGACAAATAGCACTCAACAAGGAGTTCACTGCAACCACATCGGGCTCAACCCCATACTTCTCCATCACATCGAAGGTCATAACAGCATCATCAAATTTCCCAACCGCACAATAGTTCCCAAAAACAGACACAAAGGTGGGAAGTGAAATTAACCCCTCTTCCTTCATAGACCTAATAGCAGCCCATAATTGATCAAACATCTTATTCTTCCCTAGCAAATCAACCATCAAATTCCAAGCATAAACCGACGGTTTATGAGCAAGCCCCGCCCAACGAAAGAAGCTCACAGCAGCATCAGGGCTACCATAGGAGAGCTTAAGCACCTCCTCGACAAGCTCGGGGCTAGGGGTGATGGCACTGCTAATCAATGCGGCTTCGATATCTGATACCGGGGTTCCATATATAATATCACATAAAATTCTAGTTCTAGGGGTCACATAAGGAACATCAAGGTAAGTTCGGAAACTACTTTTCCCTTGATTTCCACGCTGTATGCTTTCTGGGTATTGTGATTTTGATAAAGGAGGGACTAATCTTGAAGTATAATTGAAATTATAAATATCACCCATGTCACAAAATTTGTTCTTGTTCTTGTTATTGTTCTTCAATTCAAAGGTTCAAACCCTCATAACATTAGGGCAAATAAACTAATATTTGATTCAACAATGATAGAAATCATGAAAATTGTCAAACCTAAACTATACCAATCAATCAAATTGCATCAAATGGGCAATTTATGCACAGAAAAAGCGAAAAAGATGAGTAATTTAGCAGCGATTTGAAGAGTAGAATCGCTTACTGGATTTGCTTCAGGATTAAAATTTGTTCTTTGCTGCGAAAATACCAATGAAAAGTTTGTGATTTTGATGAAATTCAACGCCGGAGTTGTGGATTTGCCGACGACAGTAACTGCAAATAAAGGTCAGGCTCTCAGGGAGTCAGGATCCTTTCTCAACGAACCTCGAAATTTGTGATATTGTCCCAGAAACTTAAAACAAATTCGGAAATTATATTTTGTAGGCTTCTTTACTACGGTGGCGTGAAGACACTACCCTAACGCTTTCAAAACCCGGACTGGAATCAATTGATTATAAATTGACTCTACCTTTAAAATTTGATTTATTTAAAATGATTATGAGGCTGGCTCAATCCAGCACGGTGCTGGACCAACACAGGGGTAAGGTGGTCTTTTCACATTAAATGAAAGTATTGTGGTTGTATTGACACTGTTCATACATATATCTATACAACTATAAGAGAATTATCTACCCGTTTCATTATGTATATTTTGTTGGTCATTTTCCCTAATTTTATTTTATTTCCCGCTTTATTCTCTCTCCTCAATACTTCCTCTTCTAAGCCACCATTGATGGCCTTCCTCTACCACCAAATTCTTGCCCGTTCCCCCTCCCATCAACCTGCTGCCCTTCTTTCTTCCCTTTTTCATTTTTCTTCTTTCCGACCACCCAGCCGTTTTCTGGGTTTTCGATGACGGGTGGGTTTTGAAGATAGGTTTTTGGGTTGTGTGGATGGCCTAAGGTGGTCGAAATCAAGGATGGGTGGGTTTCAAAGGAATATACGTAGAACAACAACACCAAGATACCTGACAATATAAATGTTTACATGACAGATGACAATAACTGATCTCTATTTTCATAAGACAAATAGAAGCAAAATATGACAATAACATATTAAAATATGACAATATAAATGTTTACATGACAATAAAATTTAACTATGTCTACCCTTTCCCTATGTCCTAAACCTTATACCTAATAGTCCATGTCATCAATCTAAACCTCCCAAAATAGACAACGATCCAATAGTCCATGTCATCAATCAAAACATCCCAGAATAACCCAATCACAAACAGCCAATAAATATGATAAATGAACCACTCGTCCATATCATCAATCCAAACCTTCCAAAATGGACCAATCACAATCATTCCACGACATAAAGAACCAATTAACTTTATTATTGATCAGCTACATGGATTCAGCTATTCAGCTGATAGAGCCCAAAATACTAAGTAGTGGGACAACTCAGCAAATTAAGAGACATGGCAGGATTATGATACAACTAATTACTGAGAAAATGCATAATCAAATTTTTTAAAAGGTTTGCTAACAACGGTAATTTACAACTAAATAAATGTAACGACAGTAAACTAATCTGACAATGACAATAATTTACATTCAATTGACAACAATTTATTCACTTATGAAAATAACTATTACAATTATACTAGAATCGCTAACAACTTTTGAAGTGAATTATTGTTACATGGAATTCTCTTTTAATTAATATTCAAATAGGATTGTTAAATGGTTTGTTACTCAATTAGGATTGGTAATTGGATGTGACTTTGTTATCCTAATGGAATGCTTAGAATCAACTACATTTAACAAAGTCTAATAAGTTCAAGTCAACTCAATTCCTAACAAGTTCAGTTCAGTTCAATTGAGTTCAACTCAAATCAAATCCTAATGAATTGTTTATGAGAGAAGGAAATTAGGAAACGAGAACTAAACTAAAAGCTAATTGGACCTGAACTTAACTTAAGCTGAAGAAAAGAGACCCTTAATCCTAATTGAATTCTTTGAAGAAGCCTTTAATCCTAATTGAATCCTTTGAAGGCCCCTTTATCCAAATTGAATCCTTTGATATTCAAATGTCGATTAACATTCTTTAACAATCCTAATTATAGTTAAATACTATTAACAATGTAATTGAAACTCAAATTGAATCCTTTGAAATTCAATTTAAACACTATTAACATTCCTCATTATAGTCAAACATGTAGGAGTTTATAGGTACTAATTGCGAAAAAACATGAATTATATTCATGCAGTACCTAATCCCAAGATCTAATGCATAACACATAAAGAACATATAATTGTACCTTTGAAGCGTGATTCCCTGTGCGATCAAGCAAGAACAATGGGAGATAAAGAACCCCGAGCGTGATTCCTCTACTTGGTCCACGGGCACACAAATTAAACCTCCACTAATACTAGTTAGTCGTGATTGAACGCTTCAATCAGCCTTTGACGGAGAAGAGAGACACGAGCTAACCACGAACCACCACGACGAACACCACGAGCCACCACGAGGGGGCGCCGGACGTACGGACGAGGGGAGAGGGAGGGCCGTGAGGTGAGGAGAGTATTTAGGGTTTTAGGACTTGGTTGTTTGTTTCACAATCTACTGTATGTTGATTGTTCTATTCAACCCTAGGCATGGATCTTATTTATAGATCACATTTCTAAATAAGAGTCCATGTTAAGCCCAAACACCTTATCCCAAACACACTACTCTAGCTCAACACTCTACATGGTATGTCATAATCTCATGAAGTCCATTAATGGGCCTCTTACTTGTTTAACCCAATACCCTTGTTGTGTGACCTCATAGGATCCATTCTATTGGGATTAGGACTATTTAACTAGCCCAAAGATCATTTGTCATATCCAGCACCAAATAATGACGACTTAAAAGAACGAACTTTTTATCTCCATAATAGTAATTAATCCTTGATATATCTAGTAATTAATTGCACTTATCGAAGACACAATTCCTTCAAAACAATGTAATTGAATGCTAAATCTTATATACAATCCTTATTGGAATTGAACTCAATTACCAATCCTAATATAAAATGAAATGCATTTAACAACCTTAAATGAGACTCAACTTATCTTAATTATAGTTAAAAACTATTCTTTTATTAATGAAAATATGATAAATAAATGCCAACAACACTTTATGTTCATGATGTCAATATCAGACATTAAGAAATAAAGGTATGACATTAACACCAAATTCAATGACAATACAGTTCTACCCCGTTGCTAATACCCTAAAACACAATCCCCCAAACCCCAAACCCTCTGTTAACCCTAAACCCCAAATCCCATTGCATTATGACAATGTATATGTCAACATTACAATATATATGTTAATATGACAATATAAATAAATAAGATAACTATGTCTATAAAAAAAAACGTATTGCAATATGACAGTGTATATGTCAACACGACAATACATGATAAATGTCATGTTATCATAAATATCATGTCATCATCAGACAAACCCTCTGTTAACCCTTTGTCATGTTATCATAAATGTCATGTTATTCAACCTCATTTGCATAATAACGGACCAATCGTTGTAACGGTCTTGGAAAGGGCGCACCAACGATGTATAAATATGGGCATACAAATTCATACGTACAAAATTCACACCAATATAAAATAAGGGCCCACCAATAAGATTTAATATGGATAAAATTGGTGTGCTGGTCCAGCACTTTGCTGGGCTAAGCGTCACCCAAATGATTATACTACATACCATTTTACTCCTTGTCAGATTATACGACATTCAATTTATCGCTTATTTACCGGAATCGTCGCTTATTTTTTTATCAAGTTTGAGTATTATGCAACATTCAATTCCTTGCTTATCAGGTTGGAGATGAATTTTCAATTATTGGTTCTATACATAGGCTCAATTCTTATAAGACATCTATAATAATAATAAAATTAAATAAATACAGTAAAAGTTTTACAATTTTGAAACAAAGTTGTCCTACTAATTTGAGAACGAGCATTCTGCTAGACGAACAATCAGGGCCGGACCTTATGGTGTGCGCCATGAGCAATTGCACAGGGCCCAAAAAAGTGAGGGCCTATTTTTACCTTCCTTCCCATCTTTGATCAAGCGGTTTATATGAGATAATTAAGAATCAGTCAATCCCTCTCATTAATTTTGGAAAAAATTGCCATTAATTCTTCCGAAAATCTTTTTCCTTCCCAAAAATCTCTCTTGCTCTACATTAATTTGTTCCATATTTCCATGGATAAACGTTCTATAAATCATAAGTATAGATTTTTTCTGTTTGACTCTTCATATCTCCCTATTAAAATTTCAAAACTTCTCCCTAAATCCAAACAGTCAAAATTGATTATCCTAAAAAAAAAAGTAATCAATTTCAAACGGCTAAATAAATTACTCTCTATATAATTTCGTCCAATTTTGAGATCAATTTCAATTTATATGAATTAATCTACAGCTTTGGGGAATTTTTCTGATTATCTCAATTCTCATTACTTTATTAGTCAATAGTCATTTACAACCAAAAAAATTGGTCGATTTTTGCAATTGCCGAACAATCGAATACTTGGTTGTCTCAAATTGAAGGTATAATTATAATTTATATGCTATTTAAGTAATTGTTTATAATTTGTTTGAAAATAAGTTAATTAATATTGTTGTTCGTCATGTTCGGCAGGTATAAGATAGTCTTAAGAACTTAAAATTGCAAGGAGTTGTTTTTTTTTTTTTGAACGGGTGCAAGGAGTTGTTAGAATATTGCAATTGGCAGGAGCTTTTGAGATGAATTTCGGTTGTTTGTCTCCAATCTCCATCCTTGTTTTTATTTTTATTTCATTTTTTTAGCCTCATTAGTTTATATATTGTTCTTGTTCTTGCTTTCTGTTTAATTAGTGATTGATTGATTTGCGCCGCAATTGTTAATTTAAAGATGAGTTTTTTTTTTTATAATTAAAGGGCCTCTTTTTTAAATTTTGCACAGGGCCTCCAATTTTGTTGGGACGGCCCTGCGAACAATCTACCCAAAGCACGAGGATGAAACATGGTAAACATGACCACAATATCTTGGAGCGGCTTTGTCAAAAAAAAATCTTGGAGCTGCATATAAGTAGTAATATGGTATTATGGCAACCTCTAACTGTGGTTAAATTGTATTATCTTATCCTAGTCTACTCTGTAAGCT